ACACACATGCACCCACCCCGTGTCGGATGCACAGGCCGTGATCCACGACGTACTTATCACAGTCAGGCTCCTTGCAGATACGAGCTTTTCTCTTCTTGCGTTTAGGCGCCGTGGCGTCAACAGCGTCGCTCTGCGCCTTGCGTTTGGCCGACGTGGGTGTGGCCAGTCGCAACTCCGTATCCGCTTCGTGTTGTGCTCCCGGCACGAGGTGCGGCTCCATCTTAACGGCCGCGTGACTGGCGTCGTCCAGGATGAAGTCGATCGAGCCCTTGGGCGTCGAGCTGCCGAGCCCGTCGAAGGTCGAACTGGGCGACAGCAGCGACGTGGCCGGCGGTAGACGCGCAGGCTCCACAGGCTTGACGAACAAGTCTTGGAAGGACATGGCCCGCATGGTTCTGGGCGCTACGTCGGACTCAGCGTTGGCGTCCCTTGCGCACTTGGTCTCTTTCTGACGACTGAGCCCTCTCGGTCACCGAACGTGCATAGTCTGGCCACGTTTATTTTTGAGCCTGGAAGGGCAACGTCACTACTGGGTTACAGGTTACTATTATTCTGTACTGTACACACAGCCCAACATGAGTCGTCTAACGAAAAAGGAGCTGATTCGAAGCTTCTAACTGTGATGTGACCCCCCCCCCCCCCCCCCCATTTACTGTTCGGCCTTAACTGTCACGAACGCTGACTTGTAGCAACTATATTCGTAGTCTGTAATGACGCTTGCGCCTTTCGTGGATGTGCGCTGGTCAGTAGAGCCTGTCGATTACAAGTCGTTTGCATCGAGGGAGTGGCCAGCAGATCACTTGCTTTTGGTCGTCGTCGAGGCTCCAAGACGGACACCGTCGTGCACGGCCCACGGCTTTTCCACCAGAAAAGAACGGAACAGAAATGCCTAATGTATGTAATTGCGGTCTGCCGGACCCCACGCTGGTGTCTCAAGCCCGCTGAGGTTGAAAAGAGCGCGCTGTGTTCGAACTTCGAGTCTCGTCACGGCCACGACCCTCGTGTGATCGTCGATAGCAGGGGCCAATGCTTGCCTGTCTGTCTATCTGTCTGTCTGTCTGTCTGTCTGTCTGTCTGTCTGTCTGTCTGTCTGTCTGTCTGTCTGTCTGTCTGTCTGTCTGTCTGTCTGTCTGCTATCGCGCGGCCCGGCCACTGGCTGTGCCGGTACAGCGCAACGATCACATTTGGACCTCGGAGCACTTGCCATGTTGTGGCACTCACTGTCTCATTGGTATCCGCAAGCTGGTCGAACGGAGACAGAAGCAGCAAGTCGCAAGGTGGTTTCGAATGACACCGCCACAGCGTCGCAATGCTTGTCCGCTGATTCCCGCAATTTAAAGCATGCCGATGATGTGAATGGGCGATGACGATCAAACCGGTCAGAGCTTTTGCAGACACCAACTTTTGTGCGTAGCAGCATTACCGCGTTGCCAGCGTGGAAACTGCAAAAAATTCAAGCTTTTAGTTGCATTCTACGACTTGCAAACACGAGTAAACAAAAGTCGCAACGCATGCTCGACTAACTCAACGACGTGCGTTGCATGAAGTGCAGCATGCATCCATTTGGCGTGAGCGTGTTAAAGCTAGTAGACCTTGCATTTCAAGGTACACACGTAGAACCCAACAAGTACGTTCACGTTGAATGTGTCTGGTGTTTGATATTCTCTTGCTCTCTACAGTTTTCAT